ATGAGAATCCCGTACTTTAGAGTGAGCGACATGACGCAAGGGTCACCTATTGCTGAAATCCTTTCCGTTGAAGTTAATTTTCTACGACTTCGTCTCTTTCCTAAGTCTTTGCAAGGATATGAAGCACTTGAGTAATTGCCAGCTTTTCATCTCAGTTTGCTTGTCAGAAGCTCCAGCGTATGTATAAGGCACTCTTTTGCAACTTTTATTTGATTTTTTAAGTCTAGGCTATGAAACCGGACATGGGTCTAGCCTACTCGCTGTGTGGATGCCCCAGAGAAAAGAGTTTTGCAAGTGCAAATATTTCCAGTCCGCGATAGTAGCTCTTTGAAGGCAATAATACCTTTTTTTTTATCCTAAGTACCCCATATGCCCCTTTCATGATCCTTTTCACGAAGGGAGGTGGGCTCTAGTTCCACTAAGACCATTTTCCTTCTCGATAAAATCTTTGAATTGCTCGGAACCAAGTAGATTATATTCAGTTTTGTAACCATACAACATGGGAATTCTAAGGCTTCAGAGTCCTCTTCTTTTCAAGTGAGAAGCTCTGAAGCCTCAAAACTCTATTAAGTGGGATTCGTTAAAATTCATTTTCCTGGTAATCTTGCACTTCTAGAACCCTTCACCTTTTTGTAAAGAATAGAATATTTCATGAAAGTGGTAGCTAGCTGACTTCTCCAAAGTGAATATGAATATTTCATTTGTTCAAATCTGAACCGGCAGAACACGAATTATCTTTTTTCGTGCTGGGAATACGGCAGATATAAAGGGCAACTGGGCTACGTGAATGGAATAAATGATAACTAACTCGTTTCCGGAGCAGGACACTGAATGGTCTTTTTTGAATTTGAATTTTTGGCTACGAAAAGATATGTGATTATCCTTTCCATTAACTTCCGCGTTTTTATAGACATTTTTTTGCTCCTCTCGCTACAGCTTTTTTGAGATGTTCTTGCGGATTAACGAGGTTTTTTCTGGGGCTTTTTTCATCCATGTCAATACCACTTTGTCCGTCGTTATAACATTACTAGGTTTTGAACCTTTTGAACATATTTGATTGCAGGCTGGACGCTCTTCGCTGTCTATTCTGATAATCAGAAGACGATCTCTAAATGGTGCGGCTGCAGTCGTACTCGCCGCATTCGGGCGTTATGCCCGAACGTCCATACTTTTCCGGTGCAAATCCAAATGGAGAGTGTCGAGATAATCAACAAGATTCACGAGATCGAGAAGGCAATGGAATGCCCTCACTTTTTGAACCGGGTGATCGAATCGTCGATGAACACTCGAAAGAAGAATTCTATGTAGATCAATACCTCGGCAAGGTTCGTGCTGTTTTCAATCCAACTTCTTTCTTTCGTCCTTCCTATATCACGTCCAATTTCCTTTTGGTTGCGCACGATATTGATTGAGTGGGGATCGACTGTCACAGCTCACCTAATGACATTTGCTTAGTGGAAATGACGGTCACACGGAACCATCATCAAGGTTCAGCGTATTGTTTGTGAGAAGGCTGACGCCGTACGCGGGTCGCACACAGGCAACACTAATCTATCGGTTCACAAGCCTAGGGCTCAATAATTAGGCAAACAATTGGCCAGGGTGTTGGGCTAGGTGTGCAGAAGACCGCAGAATAGTTAGGCTCTCCCTAGACGGTCAGATATTTATCGTGAAAGTGTTTTGGTTCAAAGTTCAATCTGCTACACGTGGTCGGTATTTTGCAAATATGTTGCTTTCCGAGACAGCGGAATGCCTCGTTTGCATTGTAAAGTATCTTTTCCTGCTTGTCTTATGAATAATTCCCGAGTTGTAGCGAGCATGGTCTTCCAGGAATAATCTCCTGATTCATATGATTAAAAAAATACATCAAGGATGCGCTTTTTGATGGCTTTGCTTGACGATTGGCTATCAACCAGTATCCTGGCAGCAATCGGTGCTATGATTTGATGTCAGGGGCGGCTTAATTGAGCCATTTTTGAAAGAAGCGCAGAATTGAACGTGGTTCTATCTGGAGGCAGTTTTTTCGGAAGTTGATCGGCATTACTAATCGACGCTACCCATCGAAAACCTTGCAAAACCTGTCAACGTCTAATCCTCCTCTAACTAATTGTATTCGCACAACGAGAGAGATAGAGTGAGAGTTGTTGATAGTGCGCAATACACAAGGGATTAACACAGATGTGGCACCCGCTGTGTTGTACAATAGGAAATTAGAAATATCGGGGATGTTTGTCACTCCCAGTGGGTTGATTGTTTGTGTGATAAATGAGTTTGCGAGCAGAAAGATCAATTTTTTCTACTGCTGGGATTTTAGGGCGGTTTTGCGGAATGCTTCGCTGTCAGATCAAATCGTTGTCGGGGCCAGTTTGCCTTGAAAGTTGTGGAAAAATCAAAACTGAAAGACCCGTCATATTCGAAGATGCACAGAGAGATAAATTTGCACAGGTATGTTTGTTTTACCATTGTTTTCGGCCTATGTGTTAGTTTTCACGCCGTTTGTTACCTCATCAGACACTCGTATTATTTGATTGAAAGGACAAAGCTGTAATGTCTACCGTTGCTTCCTCCCTTTCGGTCATTCACATGCGGATATTCAAACGTTCAAAAGAGAGAAAAGGACGTTTGGATCACGTACTATAAGTGCAACATTCTGGTGCCAAGATTAATCGCTCAGTAGTTGGAGAGTTTCTTCAACAGCTGATAAGGTGCAGACTACTGATTACGGAGTTGAAAAAAAAAACGAAGGACCACGAATCAAAAAAAAATGTTCGTAGTGTCATTGAGGGAGCGATTCCTGGCCAGGGCCAATTAGAAATTGAAGAGGCTGTAATGCACCCTTGAAAACTAGAAACTTTGACTTTTCTTGCGGAGCGAATGAGAATTCTCCTTTTAGGTCGGTCTCCCATCCGAATATTGTTCGGCTACGTGGAAGTTTTCAAGATCGCCATTACTTCTTTTTGATTATGGAACTATGCCGCGAGCAGACACTGCTCACCCTTATAAATCAAAGTAAACGTGAGTTGTGCAGTTTCCTTCATTTACCACATATTTCTCATGAAAATGTCCTTCGCATTTTGAATGACACTAGTACTACCCGGTGCGACGGGCACAGCGCCTTTTCAAGGACCGTTACCGTAATCGTACGTAATTGTCGAGATTTTCTGAAATGAGTTTGTTGATATGTAAGAGGTTTACCTCGCTAGTTTTCGTGGGCTACTCGCCCTCAGCAAATAACGACTGTCAAGAGGTAGTGGACTGGGAGAAGACTGTGTGAAGGGTGTTTGAGCACGGGTGAATAGCATAAAGGGTAATTGGCTGTTATAGGCCGAGAACTTGAGATAATATCTTATCCTTCATCTATTTGTGCTTTGAAGCGTTCTGCAGCAAATTCTTTTTCCTTTCGCAGCAGTTAGCAGTAGTTTAGAATTAATCACTGCTTTTTTGCCTGTCTGGTTTTTGATGATTTTCCTCTTTATGTAGTAGAAACATACTTGCTTGAGTGAAAACAGATTACTGCCTGTAGTAACTAGTTTTTCTATAAGACTTGTAGCGACTTTTTTTTCGTAACAAGTTCTCTATAACCGGTTTCTAATTTGATAATCGCCTACACACGTTCATCATAATATGAGATTATTGTCTCATTAGCCCCAATACGAAAGAATGGCGCCAGCAAAAACCTGGCAGCGGTTGAACAAACTCATTTGTAGCTTTCAATGTGCTGTTAGCTTTTTTGGTTGTTGCAGCCTGCTAAACGCTCTTACTGCCTCATTTAGTTCACTACAAGTCGTAATTTCGATTTTTGGAGTTGTTAGACAGTACTTGTAAAAGGATTTTTTCCGTTGTCACTAACAGACACTAACACATTCCCGCAATAATGGTGCTTTGACGTGCCAGGGTTCACCTAGCCCCGTTCCAATGTAAGGGCAGCATAAGTACAGCCGCCTGGAGCGAATTTTAATGATATGACTGGAAGAATAAAGGATTTAATGGTGGGTTACATGCAAGCCTATTTCATGTTTTACAGGCGGCTACTTATCAGAATATGAAAGCAGAGGCTATATGGTTGGTATTTTATCGGCTGTCAGGTATCTTNTTCCAATGTAAGGGCAGCATAAGTACAGCCGCCTGGAGCGAATTTTAATGAAATGACTGGAAGAATTAAGGATTTTATGGTGGGTTTCATGCAAGCCTATTTCATGTTTTACAGGCGGCTACTTATCAGAATATGAAAGCAGAGGCTATATGGTTGGTATTTTATCGGCTGTCAGGTATCTTCTTGATAGGAATATTCTTCACAGAGATCTAAAGCCTGGCAACATTCTTATAGGTATGTTTATAGCGGTTTTTTCAATGGGTCTGCACTGAGGAATTTGCAGTCAGCTGACCTTATAAAATATGCATGGGCCGATTGCAGCAATGGGCTGCTACCACCTAGATTAACAAACAGCTGTCGCTGGCGTTGTCTGCGTCACTTTTTTCCTGACACGCTCGTGATTAGAGTAGCAAAAACGCTCGACTGTGAATTCGCCAAGCATAAATGCACCTTAATCTAGGGAGCCCAATAAATGTAAAGGGAATTGACCTTCTCGTTTTAGGTACTGATGGTCAAGTAAAGCTCGCAGACTTTGGTTTGGCTATTCTTATGCAAGATTTGAATCCAATGAGCGTTAGTGGTACGCCAAATTACCTCGCTCCAGAAGTAAGTTTTTACGCAACGCATTTTTCAGAGGGGCGAAGGAACAGGACTTTTATATTTGGTTGTTATTTTTTGATTTTCGGATTATTTTTTCAGATTTTGATGAAGCGCGGCCACTCAGAGTGTAGTGAAGTGTGGTCAATTGGATGTATGCTGTACTGTATGTTAATAGGAAAACCTCCCTTTGAATCAGATAGTCTTGAAGAGACATATGCAAGAATTCAAGCTGGCCAGTATTCATATCCCCTCTGGTCGAAGATTTCCGATGAGGCGAGAGACCTCATTAATGCGTAAGTTTCCCAGAATGGCTGAGAGTATTAAGTGGAGACAGCGGCATTCATGTTGTTATTCAGATGCCTTATTCATTCGGCTAATTTCCGTCCAACTATCAAAGAAATACAAGAAGATCCATGGATGACAATGTGTCATCCTGTGCCGGAAAGTGCTTTACATCGGTGAGTTGCCTGGGAGGAACTGAGAATCCCATGTTAAAGCTCTCCCTAAAAGACGTATAGGTCCTTCCCTCGAAAAGTTAGGATAGTCAAGTTCCGACTTTCAGGGCTAAAAGCATGAAGGATTTGGGGAAACATGACGCCAATGGAAATATCATCAGTGGAAGTCGTCCCCACCGACCTCGTTCTACCCTAGACCTCGCATCAGCACAAGCAGGTGCCAACAGAGTGAGTAAATGCGATTTTTTGTTCGACTGTATGGATCTTCCAATTTAACGCTGAAATTTTAGTCTCGACGTAAATCAATCGTGAGCACTCATGATTCTGGCTTCGGTTCCGACCCCGATATGTCCCGTCGACCTGCTTTAGCAGCTGCCGTTAATGGTTATCTGAATGACATTAGTGGTCTTCTCGGTAATCCATTATTTCTTTGCGCTAAATTTATGAAGACGCAATATTGGAATCACTGCAATATTTCATTTAATTTAGGTGGAACGTGCGATTTCGCTTTGGAACCTTGCCCTCTCCCACCGGTTTTTGTCTCGAAATGGGTAGACTATACGAATCGTCGTGGATTTGGATGCCAATTTAGTGATGGCTCAATTTCAGTGAAATTCAATGAAGGGCTGTGTTTAAGCTGGCCGTGAGTTACTTTTTGTTTATTTTATGAGGAGTGGCAGGTCTCGATTACTAGCGTTGTGATCGAAGTTCAGTGTGCGAATGTATACAGTAAGGGCATGTAGCAGGGAGGGGACTCCTATAGAACTTCTCACTTCGTTCGGTGAACGCATTTCAATGAGCTACTAAGATGTGGTAATGGTACAAGAGATCGCACTATCGCATTCTAAGGAAGAGCTCGATTTGGGAAGTTCACTGGTGAGACTCACGACGGCAACGCCGCGCTGATTCTGTCCAAAAATGTGAAGCGTTTAGTTCCTTTATGTGGGCGCAAAGGCCATCAGTATCATCGCGCAGTACTATCAGGTTATTACAGTACTACACGGATCAATTCTCCACTACCCCGACGTCACTGCGCCTCTCAGTAATAGTCCCCAATAACTGAACACTTCATTAGTTTCGGTACTATAAGTGCTTTTGGATTGCTTTCTAACTGATTAGCAAAACAAAGGACTGCGAAAAAGCCAGATTTGCGGTCCTGTGGAATCTGCGGATCTTTCGTGCTCATGTCCCTTTTTGCTAGACCGTCGGTGTCCGAAGAGCTCACCGTCTACTCCTTGATTCTACTTTTTCGGAAACAGAGGCTGTTTGCTTGGTTGAGTGTTCGGTACAAAAACATGCACATGCAAGCAGCTGGCAAAGAGCAATTGTCAGTTCTTTTGGTATAGATTTCGTATTTGATGTTGTGCTTATAGGGCAAATTCTCCCACGATTATCTATGCACAGACGCCGTTTTCTTCTCCTCACATTGTTCATCCGGGCACAATCCAGAACTCAGGGCTCACACCAACTCATATAGAGGTATTTTATGGTTAAAAGTCAATTTTTTGGTTTTGTTTTTTTCTACAATTCAATTTAATAATATGGTTTTGTAGATCGCTCGCCAGTATCGTGAATATATGGAACGCGAGCTGGCAGACACAGATCTCCTCATGTCACAAGCATCGCGAAATGCGGCACTATCGTCCAATCACAGTCCACCCTACCTAGTATTCACTCATCTAGGATCTGATTGCCTTATAATGGTCTTCAGTGATGGAACAACTCAGGTAATGTTTTTGAGTAAAATGAACGGAATTTGGACTTTTTAAGATCCGATAGGGGCGGATAGTTCCTATCGGGTGAATCAAAGGCTCATTAGCCTTGTACAGCCACTTTCCGTGCTGATTTATGAAACCTTTCTGAAATTCCATCTCGATTTTGTCGATCAACCTTTGCAAAAGGTTACTTATTGGGAATGGGAAGAGAGTCTTCTATCTCATAAGCTCTGAATATCTCAGCAGTTACCATCTTTCCTCCTAGCCGGCGATTATCTGGCCGAAGAATCTATATTGCATAACGATAAGACTGACCGATGTGGCCAGAAGTCATAGAAGGGAATCTATCCTACTGGGGCTAATGAATCATAAAAGGCGGCCTCCCTACGAATCCTCTGGTCGCGTAATTTCAGCGTAAATTACTTCCGAACACGATCACCATTCTGAAGGCACCTTTAGCGTAAGTTAATGACTATATTTACTAAAAGTGTGAGAAATTTTAGGTCAATCTAATGAAACGACGCTCAAAAATAGTGTTGTGGAATGGTGAAGGTGGGCCAAGTGATAGCAGTGATTCCAAGTTTACTTCGATAGCTATAATAGAACGAGGATTCGCTCCGTTCGCTTATCGTATACGCCCTGGACATATGTATGGATTGGAGCTTCCCCAAAGGTTAGTCAGCGGTCTTTTCCTGACTTTAAATTCATGGATTTCGTTTCTACACCTCTCCATCGTGTCCTTTACAGTTTGGAGGATTCATTGTTTGTGGTGCGTCGAGCACTGAATATGGAATGCGATTTTTTGCATGTTTCTCGTCGACAAATTCAATCGACTGAATGTTGAGGATTTCATTGTGCCCATAGGCAACATATCATTTATAAGAAAGCATCCATTTAATGGTTGTCTCAAGGATGCAGCCTTTCAATTACGCTCACTCTCGATATATCTAGTAATTCTCTCGCGATGCACATTCATCACAGTGCTCGGGTTTTGTTTACAATCGTTGCCATTCGTATTCCTTTTCATAGTGATCCGGGTTACTGTGAACAATTATTTTCTCCTATGAGATGCTTCAATTTTTATTTTCCCTTTTTCTTTTTCTATTTCCTTTTTTTTTCATCTGTATTAGGCTGTTCTTCTGGCCATCATTGTACATATAGGAGTTCTTTGATGGTGCCGGTAGGCTGTTTATACTTCGAGCCAGCCTTTGAGCTCTTCAAGTGGCACTATGTCTTTGACCAATTTCACTTTCAAAAATCTTGACAGATATTGACTTTATCTCCAATATTGGATTTAGTCCATGTGTGTCGCATCTGTACTCAGCGAGCTTATACACAGCTGCTCATGTAGAATATGCGTATCGATTGCTGCATGGCCAAGTAGTCGATAGCGTTTTGAGGTTTGACGAGTATGGATGTAGCCTTTTTTCTCTGTGTATTCTGTTTCGTTCACCGTGACATCTGAGTCCATCTGAATCTTAACTGCCGATAGGTTGCTGTTACTGTTGTTCTTAATGATCAGAGGTAATTTATACTGATTACTTTCATCCAAGGAATCTTCAACGATGTCTTTGCGCTTCAATGATGTCTCTCTCTCTCTCTTGTTCGTCTGTTCAGCATTCGATCAGTGTTGTTATTGCTGCCTGTATGTGTAGTCCTGATGCGAATACCACCATCTCAGTCTTTTCATTTTTTTCTCATCACTATTTTTTTCTTTTATTATTTTACGAGACCGCTGTTTCGGGTAACCCATATGAATGTGTACATTATTATATGTATAGGATTGCATAAAACTATTCAGACTATGTGTTTTGTAGAATGTTTGCGTTGAACTGGTTCCCACCAGTCAAAAGTAATAGCAGAACTGTTCCTACAGCAAACAATGTCTTCAGTTTGTCATATGAAAAACGAAAGAAGTGTAAAAGTTTCTCGTTGACATGGAATTGCTTTGTTTTTGTACTTGATATCGATCGTTAAGGATCATCTATTGCGAGCAATTCATCTACACTAGGGACTGTAGGGTTCACGTAGTTTTTGATTTGCAGGGTTCCATCGTATGGCATTAGCTGAAATTAAGAATATGAACCATGAAGTCTTCGTGCGTTAATCCATCCGAGGGATGAGCCTTGCATTCGACTTCCATTCAGAATCGAAGCGGCGTAATGAGTGTGTATGTGGCCTATACAATGACTTGCGTTGGCCAGCCGATGTTCGGGACAGTGCTTTTATCGTCCTAGACGAGTCTGATACCAATTAGCCGACCCCGGAGGGATGGAAGGTTGGTTGGCCTAGTCGGATATCGATCCGGGACTTGAACCCGTGGCCATGCGGGTGGGATAGTGCGCCACTTGCCGCTGCAACATCTCCATCAGTGGAATGAGATGTATAGCAGCAAATATAAGAACTCAAATTGAACCTTTTCGAAATTGATATTTCGAAGAATATTTCTTGAAATTAATAATAAAAAAAAAGAAAATGGACAGGGCAATGTTGAAAATAGGATTTACAAGCCCAAGAATCATGAACAGCCGACATCACGGGTAGGAAAACGGTCTCTACTTCTTGTCCTGTATGGAACCAATCATGGCTGTGGCTGGAATACGAATTTTTAATTAATCTCCACTTTTTGTCGTGTCGTCCTGATGGAAAGTGGTTTTTGGAGAGCTTCCATTGAACGTATTCCTTCGGCAGAAAATAGACGGCGCAGTTTTCGAGCAGTCAAAAAACAACCGGGGAATTCTTCTCGAATCATAATTTCCTCATGACCTCAGGTCGGAACTGGCTCCCGCGCCGTGATTTTCATTGTTTCCAAAATTAATTTCTAAAAAATTGTCAAATCTTGTGGATCGAAACTTGCAACCTACAATTTTTTTCCTACGAAAAGCACATAATAGTGGAGTTCAGAGAGATTTTTCGACAACAATTGCGGTGAAAACGATCGCAGAGCACCTTCTACAGAAAACATTTGTCAGTATACATATAAGTAAGTTCGATAACCAAATAAACAAACAAAAAAACACAACAAACAACGACAAGCAGAACTTAAGCTCATTCAAATCTCAGAGGATAAATTCTTTTGAGCGTTAATCAATCCCGTCTGAGGGATGCGCCCCCGCACTCGACTTCCATTCAGAAGCGTAGTGGCGTAATGAGTGCGTATGTTGCCTATGCAATGCCCGGCGGTGGTCCGCCGATGTGCAAGTCAGTGCTTTTATCCTCCCAGACGAGTCTGGTACCAATTAACCGACCCCCGAGGGATGAAAGACTTGGTTGGCCTAGGCAGATATCGATCCGGGATTCGAACCCAAGACCATGTGTGTGTGACAGTGCGCCACTTGCCACTATACCACCTCCACCTCCATTCAAGTAATACTAAACAAATATTGAGCCTGAGTACAAAACGTCAGGAAAAGAAAATAGTTGCTCGAGTCGCTCAGACCTGAATAGTACTTTATGAGCCTTGCCGAGTATTTTCACTCGCAATCGCAGTTATGATTGAATGCGTTTTTGACCTACACAATAATTTACTTGAGCCAGTTGGTGATGAAGGCTTTAGTCTTCCCAGCTAACCATAAGACTGAACCCAGCCACTTCCATCCCGAATGATGGAAAGTTCGGTAACCTGTCTAGGTTTTATCTAGAGTTTGATCCGGTCACCACGTGCACAGCAGCAGAACTACTCACCACTGCTCCAGTGTCGCTTTGTGCGGTAGCTTTCGCAGCATTCAGATAGAGTGACTTGGGCTTAACAAGGACAAACGCATAAGTGCATGACGTCGGGAGAATTCGCCATGCACTTAGTTCTCTCTCGGGATGTTGCCCTTTTACATTCGGCTCCCATAGGAGTTGTCCTCACCCAATCGATTGAGCCGCAGCATCAGTTCCCTAGCTAGGCCCAGATTGTCGTCTGGTACTCCTCTATGGCCGTTGAGAGGGAGATTATATCTCTATTTTATATCGCTTCATGTATGATATCAAAGGTCATTTCTTCAACATTCACATTCCCTCGGGATTAACCTGATTATCCTAATCCGCTGTGTCATTAGTCATCTTGGTTTTCTCCCAAGGGATAATTCATTGTCACTGTAAGGTGTGCTGCCGTTCTAAGAAGTCCCCACATACTCCTCTTCAAGGAATCTCCTTCAGTTTTATTTCAGTCAGGTCCTCCCTCCCTCCACATTTCCTTTAAAACTCCTCCTCGTATGTTGTTTGTCCTGACTTCAATGTCAGTCATTTAATTCGGCTGTTCCCATGATCTTCTCAGCTTGTGTCTAGAAACGAACGCTGCTCCCATCTCGTCAGTCGGAGCGGGTTCTGTGCAGGACCTGAGCAATAGGGCCCAGTGGTTCCTATACTACTCCCTAGGATAAGCTTAACGGGCAGTATAAGGTCCACGGTGCTCTTTAGGAGTGTTCGCTGTTCTACGGCCAGGAAACTGCGTATCGCAGGGATACCAGAGAATGCTCTTCATTTTATCCAAACCCATCTATTCAGGCCTTTATACCCTAGTCCACACTGCCATCAATCCGTCTCCATACTCCATCCCGACGTTTGGGAGACTACCTGACACGCTTGACACTTCCCCGTGGCACCCACACCTGCTCCCTTCAGTATGAGAAGAACTCGGTGCTCTTTACGTTCCTAGGTGACTACCTACTTCCTACCGGTAGATTAATTACTTCATAGATACTGGTTATAATCGTTCTCCAAACGAAATAGCTGTCATGTTGCCGACTAGTTGTGTAGTTGCGTACAAAGCCATAAAAATCACGTCTCCTCTTAATTTGGTGTTGCACTTTCGGCTTATTCCATTACGAAACTAGCCACCTACAATTCTATATCCTGGAGTTTTTCGTTATAGTGACCAATTGAACTTTATTATCGACCCCGAGGTAATTCTTAGTGTCCCGGAGAAGCAGAAGCTTTATTTTTCGTGAGATTTTATAGTGTCGTCGAGACTTATTCACGAATATGGCCTTTTATTTAAGTGGTGCTAATATTTTGCATGTGGAATTATGTTAATCAAACAGTATTGAAATATTCTAGCTCTGAACATTTTAGTTATACTTGTTGGGGTTCTTGACGTAAGGCTGCATCCGTCTACTGGTAGTAATATTGATGTTAGTTTATATGATGGTGTCGTCAAACAACAGCTGTTTATGTGTATTACCACGCGAAAAATCTTTGCACTTTGTACACTGTAACGTTTCATTGACAAGTCAGTTGTAATAAAAATAGGAGGGTTAGATGGTACTAGTTTCTTGTTTTCATGCGACCCCAATGAAAAATGACACATTGCCCGTCTCTCAATGGTTAAGAATGAGCCCCTGTTTCTCTAAACAGTTATATCGAGTCCTGCCTACTTACCCGTCCCCAATCGTAGCCGCCGTGGCTGCATAAGCTCAGCTTCTCCGTGCGATTCCGAATATCAAGCTCTGAACCACATTTCTATACATTCTTCAGGCTAGATTTAGATTCAGATAAATCCCCGGGATGGAACTTTAAGGGCTCATCGTAATTTATCGAAGGCACTCCCTACTTTTGACTGAACACAAAAAGTTTCCAGCTTTTCGAAGTTCATAAGATGGGTCAGCGAATATTTCAGAAGACATTATCGATTCCAATTTTTTGGGTAGACGTTCTTGAGGTGCCACATAAAATTTATGACGGAAATCATATGTGAGAGTCTTGGGGAACAGATGACTCCAATATTCTGATATTTTACTTCTTCTCTAGCATTTTTACTGAGCTCTCAGAATGGATTTTGACCTCATATACAAGTGCAGAATTCACGGTGCTGTTTGTTGAGTATATTTTACGACTGATATGTTATTGTTTGTGTCAATCGCAGCGGTACCATACTCCATCTGCTTCTGTTGATAACGATTTTTTCTATTTTTTTTTTTGCTTTTCCAAGTGGTCCCACTTCAGGCTCCAGATGGACGGGTGGTGTGCGGAATCAGACTGTCCACCACGTCGAAGTGCCCGTTCTCCTGAACGCGATCGAACCGTCCATCATTTCGTTAATGACCGGCTCTCCGGGGAGTTTTTTCACAACCTCACAAATCTGAGAAGGTAAACAATCTGTGCATTTTCCCTTGACTGTGGTATATGCCGTCCTACTGTACAGTTTTTAGACGTGATGAACTGTGTGATGTTGTGATAGAAGCCAGTGGCCCGATTGATGCTGGTGGTGCTGAATCGGAGAGTACTCCACCAACAATCATCGCAGCACACAAAGTTGTTCTAGCAGCAGCCTGTCCATACTTCATGTAAGTGCTCATATTTCAAATATATTCCAATGGCAGAGGTGGTGTAGTGGCAAGTGGCGCACTATATCACACGCGCGATCAGGGGTTCGAATCCCGGATCGATGCCCTCCTAGGCCAACCAAGCCTTCTATCCCTCCGGGGTCGGTTAATTGGTACAGACTTGTCTGGGAGGATAAAAGCTCTGACTTGTACATCGGCTGGCCATCGAAAGTCATTGTATAGGCCACATACGCACTCATTACGCCACTACGATTCTGAATGGAAGTCGAGTGCGGGGACGCATCTCCCAGACAGGACTGATTAACGCCAAGAACTTTATCCTTTATCTTTATTCCAATGGCAGTAGTTGCTCGAAAGAAAAGAGGACACTCCTTGAATAAAGAGATCCCGATTCCTGATGTGTGACTATGCAATCCATTTCTCTATGCGTCGCAATCTTTTTTACAGTTTGATGCCGCTTATTGACTTTTTTGCGCACCTGTTGGCCGTGTTTCACGTCGGAGCAATAGATTCTAGTTATTTTCAGGGCCATGTTCACGAGCAGTATGCTGGAGTCGAACAAAAATCGAATTGTTATAAAGGTCAGGATTTACTTTTTGCTTCAAGTTGAACTTGACCCTTGAACTTTTAAATTACTCAGTGATTACAAAAGTACTTTTTGCTAGGAGTACCCCTTTTAACTGGGATCCTCATACTGTTCTGTTTGGCTAAGCCCGCGTTGAACTTATAAATAGTTGCGATATGAAGCTTACTACTGCTCTTACTTAATGATTTTGAAACTTGACTTTTTCGAGCTAAGGAGTACTACTTTGTATACTTGGTGCTTCGAGGGCTGAAACCATTCGTAAGGAAGACCGAAGTTCATTAGTTTGTGCGTTTGCTTTTGAACTTACTCATGCACGTTTNTTTATTTTTACAGGACATCGATGGGGCTACACTGGCTGCACTCATTGAATACATGTACAGCGGTCGCTTGGATATTGATGAATCAAACGTTCAATTGTTACTGAGCACCGCAACTATTCTTCAATTGGCTTGCGTCCGGGACGCCTGTTCAAGGTAGTAGTTGTACCATTGAAATACTGTTTTTTTGTAGTCAGATTGAAGGGTTTTATAGATTTCTTCTCGAGCAACTGGACGCAACGAACTGTCTCGGAATAGCATCTTTTGCCCAAACTCACAACTGCACTCAACTGGCTCATGCTGCTCAAATGTTTACTCACCAACATTTTAGGTACACTCTTTTGAATAAATAGTGTCGTCCTTTGATTACTATTGGTACTTTTCTTTAGAATTCTCTTTTACAAAGTAGTTTCTGAGATAGGGTATTGGTAAGGCGATAAATTACTTTGTCCTCACAAATTCAATTAAAAACCTAGATGCGGAACTTGGGAGTTGAAACATTTCGGTCTTTTTTGTAAGCCTAAGCGCGGTCATGCCATGTTTCATTCAAGGTGTTTGGCCAGTTTTTTGTAGAGGTTCATTGAAAGCGAAAAGGCGTCGAGCTTGCTTTGATTTGTTGGTTATAGATTGCTTATTGAAAGCGAAGAGCTGCTAACTATGGACGAAACTAGTTTCATTCAACTCATTTCTGACGACAGACTTACAACCGAGGTAAGTCGATTAGTTGTTTACTACTAAAAATCGATTAGTGGTGGTTGAGGTGATTTATGCCCTGGGAGAAGTGCTGATTTGTTCAGGGTACTCTATTAACAGCAATGAATAATGGTAATTATTCCTTTTTATCCATTTTATATTTATTCCAGGGTGAAGAAGCTGTGTTCGAGGCAGCTATCAATTGGGTGAAGTACGACCTATCGAGGAAGCCATCTCTTCCAAAGTGTGTTGTTTGCTCGTTTCCTATACAAAGGCATACTTGATGGTTTTTTCTGACTCTGCCTTTTCAGAGTTTTGGCTGCAGTTCGTTTACCTTTAATTTCTCAAGAGTTTCTACTTGACCGTGCATACCAGGAACCACTGGTGAGATATCGTTTTTCTTCTGTGACTTTTTTATATTTATATTTTATTTGAATTTTTCTGTTAAATACCTTTGAAAATCTGAACTTGCTGGCAAATTTTACTCAAATTCAGATACAAGAGTCACCTGATTGCATCGCAATGCTTTGCTCAGTTTATCATCACATTCTCAAAAAAGAAGTGACCCCAGGACTTGCTGCTAGTTGGATTCGTCCTCGTCAGCCTGTCCCTCTTTCACAGGTCCTTTTTCTGCATGAATTAGGATACCTCTCGCAGTACCACCTGCTGTAAAGGGAATTTATCCCCATACTTTGTTTTTTTTGCAGCTGGTGATGCTTGTTGGTGGGCAAGCACCCAAGGCCATTTCGAATGTTGACACATTTGATCCAGATTCGCAGCGTTGGAACTCGTGTGAGTGGAGTGCATTTTTGAAAGTTTCAGCTGGTCGTAAATAATTATAATCATTTATCGTTCAGTGGCTTCGTTACAACAACGCCGTTGCCGCTGTGGAGTAGTGATGGCAGGTGATTTGGTTTATGCCATTGGTGGATTTAATGGAACGGCTCGTATTCGATCAGTGGAAATTTACGATCCACGCAGGTGGGTTTCGATATAATATTAGAACTATCTGAAAGTACCATATTTAAATCTGTCTTTGATCTGTGTTCATTCTATGTTCTTGGTCTATCATTAAAGCTATCACCCTCCTATTCGTCAAGCTATTTCTTCTATTTTTTTGTTGAAAGGCCATTTTTCAAATTCTCGTAACAGTTTTTATTTTAGAGACCTATGGTTGATTGGACCTCCAATGGAAGCACGACGCAGCACATTAGGAGTCGCAGTTCTCGACGGATCCATTGTTGCAGTGGGCGGATTCGATGGGTCAACTGGGTTGTGTAGTGCTGAAATGCTGGATCCTAGACAGGGTAAGCTTTCTTAAACCCCCTATACCTGAAAGCATATTTAGTCTTATTTGAACAATGGTTTCGAACCTCTTTATTTTATCAGTCTCAATTCCTAGCGCAGGAGTATGACATGAAATAAACATATTTGGGTCATCTAAGTGTCATTCAGGTCAATGGATGGCGTTACCCTCCATGACAACGAGGCGATCAAGTGTAGGAGTGGCTGCTGTGAATGGGATTGTTTATGCTGTTGGAGGTTACGATGGTCAATCAAGGCAGTGTCTAAACACGGTGAGCACCGTTTGAAACCCACTCAATTATAGATCGCTCTTTCCATTTCATTCCCCTCATATTGCCCGGTGAAATAGTCGTGCTTCTAGATTCCATAACTTCCTTATTCCCCTCACATCCACGATCTATTCCTCCCTTTCTCCAATCGTGGGCTACTTCATTTCGCACTTTTGCCTTACTTGATGTACAGTAGCGCTCGAAAGTATTCGACCAAGCGCTTTTTCGGCTGTAACTTTTTTCAAAGCGGAGCAAATCGCATAACATTTTGCTATGTTTAACTTAAGCATATTTTCATATTCTAACACTATTTGACTTCAAAGCAGCAATGTCCATGTAACTAAGGGAAAGGCAATTGTAGACTATGCTGAAGGCAGGTTTGTGACGTCTGCGGTTGTTCGCACCTTATGTGCGGCTTTCTCCTCTACTGTGTTCGACATTAGCGCTCGTACATTTTGGACATTGCAGAAAGGGAAGAAATCCTAGAAGCACCAATGTTTGCATTTTCAGTTGGTTTTCTTTCAAGCTTTTTGGAATATCTGGAACATGATCAGACTGCATTTTAAGTGGTAAATATTCACACTATGTTCATACTACGCTTTGCTTCGCATGATTAGATCCAGTAAGAAAGGAGTTACGACTGAAAGTACCACTGAGGAAGCATTTGGCCCCTTTTGAGCGCTGTTGTATCTCTTGTTAGTCGCGTCCTCATGTGGACCTTCAAATTTTCGTTGATCTTGATAGTAATCTAGTGTGGCTCCTTTTAGGTTGAGCTATATGATTCTCGCGCAAACCGTTGGAGAGCAGGAGATTCTCTACTCGAAGTGCGCTCTGGTGCAGGAGTGGCTATATATCGCGATCGTGTAGTAACAGCTGGTGGACATGATGGACCGCTAGTTCGCAGCTCGGTTGAAGTAAACACCCAAATTCCTTAATGTTCAAAAGTACTTTTCCATGAAGTAGATCTACCTTCTTAAGATGTTGTGCGATGATGGTTGGATGTTCTTGCCGGAAATGTCAGTTTGTAGAAGAAATGCTGCCATTGTTGTCGCTAACGGTTGGTCTCAAACAGTTGTCGATCGGTTGTTCTCCCTTTTTGACTATTCTCTTTTGGCTTCAGGCTTTGTATTTGCCCTTGGTGGAGATGATGGCGCATGCAACCTTTCTTCGATGGAGTGCCTGGAAGTTGATGGCGCTGATCAGTGTTGGAATATATTACAGGTGGGGCTTTATGTGATTTTGCATAAGGTAGAAAACCTAGAATGGAGATATCGTAAACGTTGTGTAGCTACATCTAGAAACATTTTCAATTCCAGGCGGAAATGCCCCAAGCAAGATCGTACTGCGGAGTGACTCTGTTGCCAAAAACTTGATTTATCGGTACTATTCTACTGGTTTTTGCTTATCGAGCGACTCTCCTCGCCCAGTGCCCTAATGCTTTTCTCAGAGTTCTTAAGTTCATTTGCTCTGTTCCTCTGATGTGTCTCGTTTACTAGTGAGCACATGCCCGATCTTCGAAAAAACAAGATGGCATGGGAAATTTGTGTGCTGCATTCAGTTTTTTATCAGAGCAGGAATGGGAATGTATATGGAATTGGCGCATTGCATTTTTTATTCATGATTCTTGGCCTTTGTACCCTTTTGTTGTCGCTTAGAGAAATTTCACCTGGCTCATGGGCAAGCTGAAAACGGTGGTCGGGCGATTCATTTTACTTTCTTTTCTGAGCATCGAAACATCAAGGCATTTTTTATTGCTAAATACATTTGCAGTGTTTAGCCCAGAAATGTTCCTTTGCACCCCTGACCCATGATACTGAAACATTCTTTAGGGCTACGCAATTTCCGAGCTCGCTATCGCCTGAGCGTTGTTTTCCTTGAACCCAATGTTTTTGTGATAAGTCAATGTGCAGTCATTACTAACATAAATGCCTAGTCTTTAATTCTTCTCTTTTTGCTGCTTGAAACACGAGTTATTAGGCATCGTAACTCCCACGATTTCATTAACTGTGGCCCTTTCTAGCATGTATTCATATGTACATATGTAACATGAGTTATTTTATGCTTTTACGAATCTATTTCAATACCCGAATTTGGTTTTACTGGTATTCTAACGACGCTCGTTGAAAGCAGCTGTACAGAAGTTCCTAATAGTTTTTGCATGTCCTCAATCTATGCGCTCTCTGTGATCTCACATTTAGCATTATAGTTGTTCCCTTTCTGTCTGGCTTAATAAAAATGCAAATTTACAATTTGTAATTTATTCAATGTCGGTTTTACAAATCGTGATAATATTGAACAACTAATGAGCCTTGACAAGCCTTTTTAGCATAAGATGCTCTCACAGAAACTACCTCTACGAAAGGACGTGAATGTGGGTGATATCTATGACCGTGAACTCGAAAGACAGGGAAAGATGAATGTGGAAATTAAGCAAGAGATTATATCGGATGATGAAGAGGTCATCGAAAATGATCCATGCCATGGAACTGTTGAAATACTCGAGTATGAACAAAGATTACTTCTGTCTACTATGGATGAGGATGTTATCTTCATCCATGCAAGGTGAATTTCAGTTTTGTAGAGCTACTAAAGCGATGTGGGGGACTGGTAGTATGTTATTGGGTGGCCAGCCATGAGGTGTGGGTGTTCATTAAGGGGAATGAAAATGGGGTTTTCTGACATAGCCTTTCATTGGACTAGACGTAACCCCTTTCCCTGTCACTTACCAAAGTCTGTTCACGAGTAGTCCCTAGGTAGCCGAATTTAATGGCCAAGTAGCTCATGGATGGCACACAAATGGAGTCACTGGGGGGAGATTGCTTAAGTTCCTGCTGAAGTGTGCTATAGCTATTCCACCATTTTAGTTATCAGTTTCTGTTCCTCTTCGGATCATTGGAAATGACGGTACAAGTTCCTTTCTGCAGAGATCCGTTTACCTTACTTGCCCTTTACTCTTTTTTGAATTTTTCATTTTTCAGAGGATTGGGAATGGAACGGATGTTTTTCAATCATCTCATTATGTATTCCGATCAGAAGTTATTAACCATTGTTCTCAATACCACACCGCAGGACGAGGTTCCTTTTGCCACCTTAAAGTTACAGCTCTCTGTTACCGCATGTAGAGTGTAGTAATAGAGTGTGCTGTTATGATTCTCCTCGATCCTGATTTGTTTCAATTTTCGGCCTACTTCATATCACTCCTGAAGGCGGCGAATGCACCATGTCTGCCCAAAGTATTGAATGCTGACATATCCACGAAAGATAGGTGAGCAGGGCTTTTCTCTTTTGTTATCGTCTCGCTCAGAACACTTGATACCTCTTTTTGAGCTTCATTTTTGTCCTATGCTTTGCTACTTCTACTTGACACTCTGCTCTGAGACTGGAGAATAACCCTTGGAACTCTTGGAAAGAGATTGGGGGCACTAGGGTCTATACTATGCATGAGGAAGGTCGCTGAATTGCGGGCAATGTTCAACCTATCCATGATTTTCTGATTTTCGATTTTGAGTTGTGCCTTGGGTAGGTTGGACATCATAAGTTTTTTCATCAAGATAGAGGCACGACTGGGGCACAGCTCAGTTTTTCATGGAATTCATCAAAGTGGAGTTTCTGGTGAACTATGACGGACTCGTACTGTGTAGTAGTATAGCCGCCCTTCGAGCGGTTCTTGCTGAATGATATGGGTGGGCAAATACCCTAAAACGCTGCGATATCTTTCTTCTCCGAGTGCTACACTGGTTCAGCGAATTGTTTTTGAGGTGCTTTTTTGATGCTATACACATTTTTTCATACCCATTCAGAGAAGCTGTGTACCTCGAAGGTGGTGTACAGTTCCTCACATCTCGTATACTTCTGGTCGATTTACTTACGAATAGAGTCCCTATCAAGAATGTTGCTGGTATTCTGGTTTATCGAGCTCATCAGTAAGTTCCTTATTCTTTGATATGGTCATTATTTATCATAGCTCATCTTCTTAGGATTCTTTCTTCGTTTCAAGAGTCGTTTATTCTCCGATTATACCGTGAACGAAAACCTGGCGGGTTTGTTAAGGTAACGCATTGCTTTCTTAACACCAGCACAAGTTTTTCTTTTGCTTTTAGTTAACGAGCTTCAAATGAGATACCAATTTCTTTTCTTCGAATTTCATGAAACCTAGGTTTTTGGAAAATCCCTGAGTCAAGGACAAGCCAAGCGTGGTAGTGTGGACTTCCGTTACTTTTTGATATTCATTTTTTAAACTTCGTTTCTGCAACGCCTCCTTTATTTGTCCATTCGATGAGACGCTGGGAGGCTGGGGAGACTCTTTCAGTCTGCTACGAATCCGAGCTACAATTAGAAAACAACATATTTCATATTTGGCCCATTGAAACTTTCTACCATCCTTCATATTGATAGAACCCTGGTTGGCTGCGAGTCATCTTCCTCATTTATTTCTTCAGGCTTTCACCGATCTACCTACCTCAGTCAGTGCACTTGGTCAACTGCAAAGAGTTATTGACCGTTTATACATTAGAAGCGTTCGCCTTATTCCACGGTTCGACGCTGATGTGAAACAAACCCTGGAGAGAACTCCGGTAATTTGTTGGCTCAGTAGATCTTAATCGTGTGAATTGATAGCTATGTGAAGTCACGTGACGTTTAGCCTGCTCTGAGTGAACTCATAGTGGACCTTCCACCTGTCCTACGCAGAGTCCACACTACATTTGTGGAGTTGTTGAAAGTCTGCATCCGGGAGCTCAAGCAATGTTCTACTGCTGAGAAACAGGTATCTTCAGTCGTGATTTCCTGAATAAACTAAAACCGAAATTACAAACTCCTTTCCTTCCCGGGGTGGTGAGCGGGAGCCCTCCTAGGGGGCACTGGGAAAATTTTACTGAGGAGTTTCTCCGGTTGATCGGAACATTCTGAGTTTATAAAGTGGGTCTCTAAGTCAGGTGGAGTCTTGCCTTGAGTTAATTTCACTTCACGCGCTTGGAACTTCCTGTCTGTTCTTGGTCCTGTGTGTATCAAATCACCTTATGCGATCATTTACACTCTTTCCAAGCTCGGGAGGTCTTAAAATGGAAGTCGTGATGCAAGCCCGACCTGGCTTCCATTTACGTGGGCAGATTTCGGTCATATTTCCTCATCTGATTGACCCTGATTACAGTTTTCCCTTACAGGCTACGCTCGAGGAAGACACTACGCAGGTGGCCGTTTACAGGCCTACCCTTTTGGAAAGGCAACTGAGTCAGAGAAGGTGGGTTCATCCGATGAATCCAGATTATTTGCTCGAGTATATAACTACGACGAAAATGATGTCCATCTTTAGGTCATTCTTGACTGACAAGCAAAGCCGTTTGCTGTCGGACCTCACTATGCTTCGTGAACTGTTGCAGGTCGCGGAGGACATGGACCCCGCAACTGTACTGAGCCGTATCAACGCCATCAGAAACGACAAAGAGGTGCGGTAAGGTCACCGATTGAAAGCGAGGTTCTCCCTTGCTGCGGCTACCTCGGAAAGAGCGGTCAGAGAGACTACTTCTTTGCAGGTTTTCGAGCGCAGTGGAACTTGGATGATGTCACGAGTCGCTACATCGCTCATTGCTGATGTTGAGACATTATGTGGTTATGGAGCCTTTAAGTCACGTCCTTTCGTCGGTAAGTAGAATTTCTCAGTTGTTCCAGTGTCATGTACTGTACTATTTACTATGCCCTCACGGTCTGCTTGAACGCTACTTCAAACCTCTTAAGATGCTCTTGAACTGCTCCCCAACGTCTGGAAGATAAGGATAGGGAAAGCGGTAGTTGAGCTGCTTTGGATCAGGCTGGTTGAAAAGGAATGATGGGATGGTTATCCTTGTAGGACCCTCCATGTAAACAGGAGGAATAGCTGCACGGGGTTTACAGGCATTCGAATCGGCTTATTCCTGATTACTTGATAGTTGGGTGAGGACCTCCGCTAAAAGACACGCCCACGTCAAGTTTTAAACTGTTTAGCCCCACCGAAATGGCAAGTTCTGGCATCAGTGATAGACGAAATCAAAGGTATTCCAGTTCGAAAATGCGAAGTCAGTCCTGATGGTGAGTGGGACCTTTTCCATGATATCACCGTTCCACGTTCCTATATGTGCTGCTTATTCAGGCCCGTCGGTGTTGATCTTCGTTAATGATGACGCTGTAGTCCGACAAGTAACCGATCTCATCAGAAACGGTCCCGAATTTCTTTGCTGGATGACGAGACGATCACTGGGCGGTGGTGGTGCCGGCAAAGAGCCGCCACGATCTCCTTTGTGGGACATCGATGATGTCACCCCTTTCCAGAAAGGAAATCTGGTTGGTTCAGCTTTTTGATTTTCTTGAAGCTACTCGGATTCATGGCTACTTAATGGTCCATGAATAATAATCGTCATTGCAGACTGCAGAACCACGTAAAGAAATGATCTCGGATCTCCAAAAGAATACGCTTGTGACAGCGAGGGCATCCAGGCGTCGTCGGAAGGTTGATTTTTCATTATACAGCATTTCCTACCAGAAATTTCCTATATGTAGTAACGACACTATAACACGTGATCGGTAGTTTCCTTAACTAATTTTGTACTTTAATTCCATTGTTCTCATAATTGGACAGGTAATTTTTCATATGTATAGCGATCCATCTGCTTGAACAGATGGAAATAAAGCAACCATAAGACTATTGTTATAATTAGAATTCAGGATACGTGAGGTAATTCGATTCAACACTGACAGTGAAACTTTTCAGGCTGCCGAAGACCTTGTAGGATCATCGGATACGAGTAAGAAACAAACGAAACTTCTACAATTTGGGATTTTGCAATATAAAAAGAGGCGGAGTGATGATACGGTACGAGTTCTTGTATTACTTAAATCTTAACCCTGCATGTTGTGAAGATCTGCTTTGTGGGTAGGTTTGCGTAATTGAAAAATATTACCGTTTAGAAATAAGAGTTTTCTAAAATGTGGTTTACCTATGTGATGGTGATAGAACACCTCAGCATTAAATAGCCTAAGATCTCTTAATTATTCGGTCGGCTGTCTGAGAATAAGATTCATCGAATTCAGGCAACTCCCTTTACGAAAGGAAGTAGTTAAACTGAACCTTTGATTCTATGTTACCTCACATTTCATTTCGACGTTTCGTCTTCTTGTGAGGCCTGAAGATGGCAAGGAACTTTTGGTCTTCGAACCAGAGAATTTATTGCTTTACACCTTAATTTCTCTTTACCATAATCCAATATCAATTGATATCCAGTTATATAACTAGTATTGTTGTTGGATGGGCTGTTTGTGGGTTTTTTTCGTATGATTTCATGCAGGAGGAATTCACTTGAAGTATGTCAGCAACGCAATTGGCTTTGCTCAAAGCCAATCTTTGTATTGTCGGAAGTGAGCTTGGAAAAAGAGTCACAAAGCCTCTGTTTCAAGTTTTTACCGGAGCATACATCTGCGAAACAACCGAGTAGCCAGATTAATCAATTTACTTTTCGCTCTTCTCTTATGGCGGATGTAGTGTGGCGGCAAGTGGCGCGCTATCACACACGAACGGTCACGTGTTCGAATCCCGGATCGGTATCCGCTTAGGCCAACCAAGCCATCCAACCTTCTTTGGTCGCTTGACTGATACCAGAGTCGTCTGGGAGTATAAAACCACTGAATTGTCCATTGGCTGGTCACCGCAAGTCTTGTATAGGCCACATACGCATTCAATACGTCACTACGATTTTAGTACGAGAGGAATGCGTGGGCGCATCCCTCAAACGACATTGATCAACGGCCAAAGATCTAATCCTTTGTCCTTCCTCTCCGATACCGCCCAGTAATTATGAGCTGCTAATTTTCACATACTTTCTGCAGTGGATGGAATCTTTATTACGTAATCTAATCACCGATAACTATATAGTTATAACGAAATAGTAACAGTTGAAAACAAAAACGTTCGTGACAACAACTTCAAACTTCAAACGATGGAAACTCAACTTATGCTTGGAGCCTATCAACTCACTAGGTGGTCACAATAACGCTCAATGGAATTTAATGTTTTGTGCCCGCGTGTCTGTCTGTATATTCTAGCGTAGAGACATGGGTTTCCGATTACTCTAATTATAGCATGGTTATTTGATACTATGCTAGGACACAAAAAATGCTAACGCGAAGGTCAAAAATCAAAAAGTGCGATCTTAATTGCATTCTGTATTTCCTATCTGAATCTAAGCTCTTACACAAATTGCTTTTGAACTAATCGGATATTAAGAGCTATCGGTAACGGGCCGTTACCTTTTTTAGAAGAGAATTACCAACCAGTTGAAAGTGACAACAGTAATTATAGTTGTGAAAGTAACAGGAGATAAAGTAAGATTGACTTTTTCCAACTTTATCACGGAAAGTTTGGGTCTATACTTTGCCTGAACCTTTCTATGATTGCAGTACTCCCTTCAGATTACGTTTCAGCCTCTTACTTCCGCCCCATCCCTGAAAAGTGGAGGAATAAACAAAATCCTACGAGGACTCACTTTTCCCAGAGACTCAGAATAGCAGTTGAGTACTGCTTTAGAGCTATCGTTTTCAGATGTCGCTGCAATGGTTCAATCACGGTGGTTTTCAGAATTTTTTGAACCCTGACTGAGTAGAGGAAGGCGAAGCGCGAGTGGGTGGAGTACTGTAATTTTAGGAGGGCTCAATTAAACAAATAGGGAGTATTTGTGGGAATATCTATTTATAATGATTAATCTTAATTGGCCTTCGGTAGTTTTGTGAAGAACTCGATCTGCATGTCAGTATCGGCGGCGATTCCTGCGAGAGTTGTGATCAGCTTAGTGAGAGAGGCGAACTGTCTCATAAAGGCATTGCTCACAGGCGTGCCAGGAGGCACTACTGGAGCTTTCAGGAGCAGAGAGAGGATGGACAGCACCTGAAATCTGCTGGTTTTGAGGAATTTCGCCACATTTTAGGTAACTTCAGGCGTCGCCGTACTGTACTACTACTGTTTTTCTAGCATTTTTGATGCTCGATTATTTTAAAGTCTCACGGCTGTCGTCTAGTCCTCACCTCATGAAATGGTCGGAATTCGCCGTCGTTGGCGTCAGCGTATCGAATTCTTGTTGCCAGCTCAGTCAGAATTGCCAGATCGTAGATAAGAGGAGTGGCCAAAAGTGAATCTTCACAGGTGTTGTGAATTACGAACGTCTGACGTCCACCCATGAAGATGCTGAAAATACTCAAATTTGGCTTCAATTGGTTCGGGAACCAGGGAGGTCTTGGCGTGGGAGCGTACCTGCAGATGTACTCGTCCATAGCCCTCTTTGAGTCCCCAACAAATGGTACGTATTTGATAACAATACAATGATCCGGCTTTTGCCCAGTTGGATAGAGAATCTTATTGGCTTCTACCATATCGTCAACTACAGAAGACTTGGAAATTTCCTAAAAGGTATTACGTCTACGGTGCCAGCCAGCAGCAGAAGAAAACGAACCTTCGATCTGAACTGTCTAGCTTCGCTAAGGTTTTTGCCGTCATTATTTCCGAGATGATTGTAAGAGACGATCGATTCCGGCTTCAATCCGCTATTGACCATAAAGTCGACAAGAGCCGATTTGATCTTTGTCTGGCCAGACTTGAAGTCATCACCTCCAACGAAGACATTGTGCTGAAAAATGGAATCAGGTCATTTCTAGAATCGATTTCGGGGGGGAGGGGGCCATTGGATATCATTCGGATCACGAGCAGCAAAAGTGAAGCACTATTAAAAGCATAATCCACCTTTACTGCCTCTTGGAAACCATCGGTTATGGGAGGGAAGTATTCAAAAAATAGGTATCAAGCAGCTCTCTCGTCTTCGAGAAGCTAAATTGGTACTATCCCTGCCGTTATAAACCTATACACTTTGCTTTCGAAAGTACCTGATTCATCTAGCCTCCTTTGGGCGTTTCTCTCCACAGGTAATCAGGTAGGCTTCCGATTACCAAATGCTGGTTATTCAATTTGAGTGTAGGTAATGCCCTATCGGGAACTTCCACTAACCTTGTGGGCCAGGTCGATTATACCGGGTACTAGCGTGTTCTGTGGCGATCCATTGATGTAGTGGGCTCCTTCCAAAATGGCGGCTATAGCGAAGATGTTTGATGGCGATATCTGGAAAGTATAAACGCATCAGAAGGTATGTTTTGAGAGGCATCCTTCTGCAATCGGTTGTACCTCGTCAGCACTGGCGTCTACAGATGCGAGTATCTGTTCAGCTGTCATATTCAGACCATCGACAACGTCGGTATATCGCTCAGTGTTTGCTGTCCACAATACGATAACACATTCTGAAAATATACGAATTCCATCCCTTTTCCCAAGTTACGGGTGTAAGATCTGTCGGAACTTACCTAGATCGTGTTTGGCCTTAAAGTTACGGATATCGCGTCGAATATGCTCCAGGTGCTCCTTTTTGTCGGTGCCAGGGATAGTATTGTTAGCCCTGTCTCCCTGATTTGCGGCTATAAAATCTGGATAGTAGATGGATGGCATTGGCACAATCGGCTCCATATACGGTCGAAGTTTCTCTTGTAACTCGGGTTCGAATACCTGAATAAGGACACTTTGCTTTTCCTTTTCTCATCTTCTCGTGTTTTACTTTTTTATTGAGTACTGGTGGATTAATGGTGCCATTGGAGGCAGTACCTTGGCTCGGATCATGGCTTGATAGAGATTTGCGTTGTTAATGTCCCAGCCGTCGATGATGAGATCGTTTGGTGAAAGAATCGGGATAATCTCATTGAAAGGAACATGGATTTGTTGTTGGCCATCCCATCCAAGGTGAATTGTCGATGATTGCGTGACGGACCTGGAAATTCCCTCCTATGGGCTTTACTGTCGATGGGATTCAAATCGCTGAAACCCTGTAGGTACTTTACTCGAATGAGGTTTTCACTGAAAATTGTACCCGAAGTAGTTGGCAGTCTGGATGCCTTCCTTGGTTCTCCATGTCATATGCTTCTTATTGGCAAATATCGCTCCCACAGATGTGGATCCGTTGTTACCTCCAATACCGACTAGCATAAGCCCTGGAATGGTGATATGTATGGAAAGGGGTAATGGAGTTGAGCAGATGTTGTATTCCCTTTGAGATCAGCAGCCTGTAACTTATCAGTAGGTACGATTTACTTGTCCCTAGATGGACAATCACGATTACCGACATGGTCAAGCGTACGGTTATTCTTTCTAAAAATATATTCAGGTGTGAGACCCTTCTGCAGACTTTATCTGTTCGCAGCCACCACTTAACTAAGCAGTACGACCTTTTTGTGCCTATCTATATTTATTGGCCACACTAAGAGGACTGACTATAACTTACGGAGGGCAACTGGTCAGGGCTTCTAGACGGTCAGGCTTCCAGAAAACGATTAGATCAATCCTCATTTTAAGCAGACCAACTGGTCTTGTTGGCCACTTCTTTCGGTTCGTGTATCAGGACTCTACTTTTTTGAACTACTCGAAAATGACGCTTTTCTTTACCTAGTTTGTTTTGTCTGATTCAATTGTTGGTAGAAATTTATTCCAAAGCTTACCGGTCTTCTTCGGCTTCAGTTGTGTTTTGAAGATGTATTCATGTTCTTTCGGTGTCACCTTCAATCCATCAGCAGTACGGGAAAAGTGATTTTTACGGTAACAAAATCTTGTCTCCATCTCTTTACCATCGCAGCGAACATAGGGAGAGTCGACAACCACCTGCAACCAAATAATCAAAGAGTCCGCTGTGTTGTGTTGTTGGTGTTGTCCGTCGCTGTTCCCATGTGTAGCCTTTTGACAAGGCTGTAGTTTTCTTAATTCAGTGAGTTATAGATCGAAAACAGCTATCAATATGATTGAACTTCGTTTTCATTCATTATGTTCATTTTTNATGGAAGGTCCGAGGGAGAAGGGCGTTTATTTGTACAAGTAAGAGACAAATCCACTCTGTTACTGTTCTAGACTATAATTCATATACGAGGGAGTCCTCACCAGACCTAACCCAGGACCTACAGTTCGAATCCGCCATTTTCATCATAGTAAAAGATGGAAATTTCTGCATTTTTCATCGGTGACCAAAGAACCCACAACAAGAGAGAGAATGGGAATAGAGGTTTTTGGATGCCCGTGATTTTTATCGAATTTCTCTGTTCAAAGAAAAAAGCTTACCCTTTTATGTTTTTGATGGTTGGCGTCCGTTCCGTTTGCGTATCCGTTCATCTTGAAGTTTCTGTAAAGATTTTGTTTCAATAGAGTGAGGTAATTGAGAAGAATGAGCGAGGTTGTGAGTGAGAGATGGTTGAAAACCTAAAGTATACAGGGAGGAGTGTCGTCGTGCAGAGGACATCTGGCCGAAAAATGATCGTATTAGTCGTTATGCAGACGTTTATAAATGTGTCAGAAATCGGATATGATCGTATAATAAACATTGCAACAACGGACGTTTTCTTTGAATATGACCTTTTGCAACTGCGAAACGGTTACGTAATGCGATACGAGTCTGACCACATAACTACATAGACCAAAAATTCCAAATATTTTGCATTTCTGCTGGACTATTTTAAGGTCTGCCAAGGTCCTGAATTAGGGGCAAAATTTTGACCTGACAGCAGTTGAAAACGTCAACGAACCGTTCTCAAAAAAGTTTTTTTTGCATTTTATTTTGTGATTTCTTTGCAAGCTATTTTTGATGTTTGCAGAGATGCTAAGGTAGGGGCTAAAGCTCAGCAGGCAACGATTACTACAATTTCGATTGAAATTAACTTTCTGGATGATTTCTGGTTTTTTCGAAGTTCTGCGCATCTACCGATGACGCTAGAANTATTTGAATTGATAAAACTTTTTTTTTTCAAAGAATGCCATATGTGGTGTAGATTGAAGAGCTGGTAGGGTAAAGTTTTCAGCAAAATGAATGTATGATTTCGACTAGTTCGAAGCCGAACATTTTGCCCACATCTTGACATCTCTGTTTCCTTTTGATAACATTCCATTGCGATTGCAGCGGCCGATAAAAAACAGAACAAAAACAAATCGAAACACACAAAGAATTCTCCACACCGGGTTGATCGTTTTGCAGTTTTGCAAGGTTCATAGGCGAGCGAGACGAAAAGAAGAATAGGACCGGGAATGATGGAAAATGCGGCCTAGTTAGTTTCTGGAGTTGGAATTCAGTACGGGACCAAATTCTTCCAGTACCCCCATAACTGCTTCGGTGTGGCACTAGTTGTGCAACTTGGAAAAAAAAAACAGCGCTTCTTCTCCATAGTAGTAGTAGCAGTGGTAGTATGACGGAGCAGTGAATCAGCCGAGGGGGGTGAAAACTTAGAACTGGGCCAATTTTCTTCTTATTGAGGGTTTGAGTTATTGCTATTCTCCATCGCGTTGAGATTCTGGTCTTCTTGGAGTATTCGAAACATCCAAATGAATTCCGCTGGACTAATGGCATGGCGTTCGCCAAGTGATGTCAACAAGACATAACAACAATGCATGGAGAGGCAGTCCGTCTGGCGGCCACACGAAGTCTGGCCTCGTTAACCGCAAAACGAGCAAAGGTTGGCAATAGGCGGAATGAGAAAAAGGATTTCGCAGCTCTTAGCTTCATTAGAGCTTCGCCCGACGAAAGTCACCTATCGATTCTTCGTTGGCCTGCACAAAAAAGGCCATCGTGGAAACCCGCAGCAGAGAAGAATGCTAATGACGAGCGTCCCATAGCTAGCAATGGTCCTCAATTGAAGACGGGCCCTATTTCATTGTGGCGAAAATAGAAACATAATTAGTCATTTTGAAAGAATGTGTAAATTAAAATGTCCCGGCGTGCCTTGAAACTAATAGAAATCGCAGCAAAGAGCGGCTGACGCTTTGTAATAGCAATATTTTGGTGAAGGAATGTTATGGGGAATGAATGAAAAGACATCAATGATCTGACAGGCAGACTGGCAAAGCGATGACAGAATGCCAGAAAGGAGTGAGACCGAAACAGAAACACATAAAGAGAAAGAACACAGAAAGTGATATGACATGAATGGACTGAGGTAGGGCCATGGCTGGTGCTCTAGCGCTCCACTTTGGGCCATTCAGGTTAAATCTCCAAAGCCTGTCCCCTTTTTAGTGTCTAACATGCCACTAGAACTACCATGGTAAACATAGTCCTTGGTTCGGGTTTGATCCTGGATAATCGGACCTTCTATCTCATCAGGCTTAGCTTATGGCTCTGGACCCCCTAAGAAGGATAAGCACACCGACGTGAACCCCCTTTGAGAGGCATGTAAGATTCTAAAGGAAGCTTAGTGCCGAACCTTCAAAAGAGTTTCTCCGTAGGGGCTTCTACCTTTCTTATGGAACGTCTAACGTCAGCATCACCTGGCTGGTGGGATAATTATTTTGCCTGCCACTTAAGGTGGTCGTCCTGAGAAGTAAATTTATGACGAGTATAATTTCGATCGAAATAGATGGCCAGGATGCGGCTGCAAGGAGTGAATTCCATTCCAGAAAATGTACCAACTACGAATGAGAAAGAGAAAATTAAAGAGAAGAAATATGTTCGATTTCAATGCAAAGAATGTAATCAGAAGTATGATCTATCATGGGGCTGTTATCTTTCTGAAGATATCAGTTGAGGAATGGATGATTCAGAATTATTTTGGCAGATCGTCATTCTATAGAAGCTTCGAAAACTTTTTGAGCAGACCTGAGTCATCTACACCGCCACTGATATCTGAAAAGAAAGCAGAAGTGTAGACAGAGGCTAGAACAAGGGCAGGGATAAGTGCAGACAGACGTTGGAAGAAGGGTAGGGATAAAAGTCGTAGCATAGCAACACTACGGAGCAAAAACCAACTAGGCTTGTCGTCGTCTGGGGTCGTCTGATTGATGGCGAACCTGCCTATCCTAAGACCTAAGATTACTGGGGAATTTGGAGGATCGGAATACGCTCAGAAAAGACTCGACGAGGGTCATTTTCAGTGAGAGTGCTCTCTTCTTCCTTCCAATCGAAGATTACTTACCTTGAACAATGCGATCCCAAGGTAGCATTTTTGTAACCCAGACTAGTCCGGTAGTCAGATCGTGGATGGAGTTCTCGGGTAGCATGGTTGGAATGATCGTTTGGGTGACTACGGGACCTCGTGCTAGTGCTACATCTAAAACCCAGTGCACATCAGTTACTAATGCTTTTGCGATTTCAGGTTCTCTGATGGAGGTTGCCAATGCTATCTTATGATCCAGGTCAAGTGTAAATGAAACTTTTTAGGAGCCATCGGTGACAGTAAAAACGGAGCCACCTGATGAGATTCAAGATGGAAGTGAGGACGCAAAAACAATCGGTGAACACGAAAAGGTAGCTTTTAATAGATTCCAACTGAATATAATGGGGTTTATACTCTCCGCCATGCTGGTAAGCGTAAAACTGGGTGAAGGTACTTAAGATTTGTCGAATGGTTATTGCTCCATTAATGAATTTCTTGATAAATTTCAAAAATCAGATAGTAAACGTGCTTTCGCTTTAGGTACCGATAGTGGTGATGGCTTACGGTGAACGTTACTCAATTCTCCGTCAATTGGAACAGATGAAACCTACCGTGATTATTCTCTACAACACGGATATTACCACATTGAGGCATATTGAGGTATACCTCTGGTGATGTTTATTATTTATCGGAAGTTGCTATAGACAAAGTTTTGTTGACCTCTAGAAGGCCTGTGATTGGTTCCAACAAACAATGCACCAATCATAGGCCTTTAATTCAACACTGAATCTAATAATTCTGTACCAATGCATATAAAATGGAGCACGCTCACAGAATAAACACACAATGATCATCAAGCCACATTAGTGGCGGATAAATTATTAAAGAATCAGAGCTCTATAAGTCACAGCAACATCAGAGCTATCAAATTTTAAAGAGAAGGGGAGAGGGAGGCGCTAGAATTGAGCTGATGTCGACTATGTACTATAGGTTCGCCTTTTTTAGCGTCAGATTGATCTGTTTCGTCATTTCAGATCTACAAAGCATGTCACTCCGAGCTGTTCCTCCAGATTTTCTCACTCATGTACAGGGAGTCGACTGAAGAGTCACGCTATCTGACGGCGCTCAAGAATGAGACGGATGCGTTCGAATCACTATTCAAGGAAAAAGCGGTAAGTACCTAGCAATGTCTGCTTGGAAGCTTTCAACAGAATGCTTTATAAGTGTTATAACGGTGATTTTTGAGAGATCCTATTTATACTCGAGTCTCGAGCCTTCGATGTTAATTGGTTCCGTTCGGGTATGCGCTCCGCATTCCACTTCTGGCCCCAATCGTAGTAAT